GGCGATTCTTCGAACATAAATAATTCTCTTATGAGATTGTTCAAAAATCAATTAGCTATACACTTGAACAGCTATCAATCTTGATATACTTTTCTATTTTCATTGATGTTAACTGAATGTAGGAAAAACTGTATTTCCTGATTTTTTCTATCCGCCCACTTTCGATTGGTGGAAATCACAAATTGTCGAGTATCACAAGAAACTGAAATTTGATGGTCTTTGGATTGATATGAAGTAAGATTTGCTTTAATAATTTATTGTTTTTTTTTTCGTATGTACCGGTCATCATAGTGAACCAGCTAATTTTGATACGAACAAACTGCAACCATGGAACTGGAATCTAACTGTGCCTAGAAATGAATCGTGGAATCTTCATTGTCCCGTCGATCTCGAACCTTTGGATAATCCACCATATAAAACAGCAATTTGTGGTGATTATATCTCTGATAAAACTTTATGCATGATAGGTGAACAAATCGATGGTAGAGGAAAATCTTATACTCATTATGACGTTCATAACTTATATGGCTGGTCAGAGATTATAGCTACATTACCGGCAGCACGCGCCACTGAAAATAAAAGATCAATTGTGGTTAGTCGATCCACATTTCCAACGTCTGGTAGCTTTAGTGGCCATTGGCTCGGTGATAATATAGCACTGTGGCCACATCTTAAATATAATATTATTGGAATGTTAGAATTCAATTTATTTGGTATTCCTTATATTGGTGCTGATATCTGTGGTTTCTTTAACAATGCCACGGAACAAATGTGTCAACGATGGATGCAATTAGGTTTGAATCAGTAGTTTCCCATAGATACTTATATTTGAAATATATATCGAGAAAGTGGATCCATCTCACATATGGTGACAGACATGCCGATATAACCAGAGGGTAGCAGAGAATCCTGTTTTCGAATTGCTTTTGAGCTTTAAAACTGTTTTAGACATTTTCGGATATCTGAAAACCAAATATTTTGATCTTAGAGAGATTTTTCAGAGTTTTGAACGGATTTAAAATTTCGAAGCTAAAAATCTATCGCTCTTCCAATTGCGATACTGTTTGCGGAACTCTTTATAGACTGCTAGATGCTTCGATATGTTGACTCTTGAATTCTATCGTCTGAGGCCGTACTTAATGTTGTATAGGTGTTCTTTCACAAGCAAAAGGATTTTATCATATTTCATATTTTTATCCTACTGAAATTGTACTGAAAGCTTCTCAACTGGTAGACAGAAACGAATGATCATCTTATTGAACTTTTTCATATAGGTGCTTTCAATCCATTCTTTCGAAATCACAATGGTAACAATGAAAACGGTATCAAGTTTATTGAGCAAGACCCTGGAATATTTTCGACAGCTGTAGCCGCTTCAAATCGTCGTGCAGTGGAACTACGATATACTCTCATACCATATTTGTATACATTATTCTATCGTGCTCATATTTCCGGTGGTACTGTTGTACGTTCGATGGCTCATGTGTTTCCAACCATTTCTGATTGTTGGTCACTTGATGAACAATTTTTATGGGGTTCATCGTTGCTCATTGCTCCAGTTATCTATGAAAATCACACCAGTAAATCTGTCTATCTACCCTGGACCGAACGATGGTTTGATTATTATACGGGTCAAGAAATAAGCACACTGAACCAAACAGTTGTTTCAGCACCCTATGATTTTATTCCATTGTTTTTACGTGGTGGTGCTATAATTCCTCATCAACAATCGGCTATGAATACTGTAGAATCACGTAAGAAACCTCTTTTTCTTATTGTAGCACTGGATAAGAACAATGATGCTTCTGGTGATTTGTTCTGGGATGATGGTGAATCGATTGATACTTATGAAAAGTTGCTCTTCAATTATTTTATATTCAGTTATAAATCACAACGTTTAACCATTGAACCATGGACATATAAATATCCACAAATGGGCAATGAAATCAAATTAGAAGAAATCAAAATATTCGGTATGAATAAAAATCTAACGAGAATTTTATGGAACGGACAAGAATTAAAACCAATAGAACAATGGACATTCAATACAACAATGAATGTCTTACATATGACAAAGCTTGCATTAGATATGGCTAAAACACATAAATTCACTTTTATTTAAATATTTATCTTCTATGCTTTCTTATTGATTATTTTTTAACATAGAATAAATAACAAGAGAACATCAAGTCGAATTGGTGTCTTCACTATTGCTGCGATTTTAACAATGATCATATTGTTTTTAATTGAATCGTCGACAGACCACTATCAAGCTGAAGTATAGATGTATCTTTGTAAGAATTGATCTGTCGATAGTCAAAGTTTTGCTATACATTCAGTTTCGATCCCTTTTATCAACTGCGATGATCAGGATTGGTAAAAGTCACTTTTCGTAAGATCCATCGAAATGAAAATAAATACAGGAAAATATAGCACATGATCTGATCTCTTACAAACGACGAAGGCTTTAACTCGGCAATAACTTTTTTCAAAAGTTATTTTAAAGATTTCGTCATCTCCTGTTCGAAAAATAAGTCATTTTTGAAAAAAACACTTTTTTATACGAAATACCGTTTTTTCGAGGCCTTTTTTGTGCCATCGAACTTTTCATGCCTTTCCTCCGCTTAAAAAGTAAGAATTTAAAACAAAAAAGGCACTTTATTGCACTCCATCGTGACATTTTCTTTAAAAAAAAATGAAATGTATAGAATGAGACTGAACATAGTAATCCGGTTTGTCAATTAAGCTATTTTTCACGTTATTTGATGAATATCCCACTCAAACATCATGATATAAGGCGGCAAGTTTTACCATAGACTCTCTACACCAGTCTTAACATGTTCTGAAAATTTCATAGAATTTGAATGCTCCTGACTTAAGATAGATTTTTGATGGAAAGGAACCTTAAAATTCGAGTATCTCGGTCCAGACACGTTATAGGTACGTCATATTTTTAATTTTGTGGGTTTGTCAGTGAGACTTTTAATTTAATCCAAGTATGTTCAATATTCTTAAGCACAACACACATCGTGCCATTCTTAGCTGAATAGAGACATCGTAGCTGATGCGAACCTTGCAACTTGGGAAAGTGAAAGTGATGTACAAGACTTCTTCTCTGAAGCTATATGTTTAGTTTAAAAAAAGTACATCAAACTGAAAGAAAAGATACGTATAGAAGACATTTCAAAACAAAAAGAGAAAAAACCAAAAGTTAAACGTGCACTCTTCTTATATAATATCACTATTTTATATTGATTTTCATCGTTTGATCTTTCATTCGAGTCTCAAAAGTACAAAGCCTATCAAGAATAAACAATACGATGATGAATCGTAACTAACTTATTTAAATTGTTGATCGAAAATGAACGAAACAAAAAACGAAGACGAAAACTCCTCTAATCTTCAGCAAGTTTTGATAAATCTAATTTGTTTAATAAACCATTTTCATCTAAATATACAAGTAGCAGTTCTAATGGTGGGATCGTCATGAATGAATATGATTGTCTATGCAAAAATAATCACTTGAACTACGTGTCCTAATATTTCGGCTAATACATCACCGTATAGTATTCGATTAGTTGTATTACTCCTTTGACAGTACATAGTTGTTAGTCTTTTGACCAACTTGTGGTGTTGCGGGTGTGAGATGTGTACCTAGTGACAACAAATCATTCCGAAATTCTAAACAAAGAATTCCACCTAAGAAATAATAAGAATCATAACAAAAAAACTCAGATTGCTCCTTACTGTGAGCTGCTTCTTATTGAAATGTGCATTTCTAAAAATCATTCCTACCTTACGTCTTATCAGATCTTGTTCGATTTCTTATCCCTAGAGGTGGAACCAACCGGTCATAGTACCAAATTTCATACTTTTGTTATGTTTATCGATTATTTGAAACAAACTTCACACTATTCCCTTGCGAGTCCGAGAGAGCGATATAAATTTCACAGAGACGGTTTTAACACAAAGAGAGAACGGATTTTTGAAGGAGTGAATTGATCAATTAGAAAATGAACAGCGTAGAAACAGATATCGCATCATAAGAAGAGATGATGTCAGAGGAAGATAGAAGAAAAAGACAGATGATATGGCAATCGCAGTCATGGAAGCATCTTCAAGAGGTGAACGAGTGAGTGCAAACTAAGAAAACACCATGTTCTGAAATCGCTGAAAAATTGGCGATCAATCATCGATTATTAATGATATGTTTGATGATTATTACAATATATCACGATGTGTTTCCGGATTTTTTTTTCATATTAACCACACCTTTATCGTCAATCTGATCTGATATTATCGAGATTTCAGAGAAATTTTATTTATTTTTTTTTAATTTCATCTATTTTCTAATTTTGTTTTATTTAAAAAATATTTATGATTTTGGCCACGCTTAAAGTAAAATTAAAAAAAACCGAAAAAAAAATCAGATGATTAACTCTTCATTTTTCATACAATTCTCTTATGAAGTTTCACAAAAAAAGAGAAATATAGAAGACATGAATAATCATTGATATACAGAAAGATGGCATATCGATGCTACGAAAATTATACAAACTGCTTCAGAAATACTAGATTCAAATGAAAGAAGTATATTATAAGTCAAATCTATATATGTATACGAAACACAATGCCGAACATCATTATCAAAAGTTAATTATAATAATCACAATAGCTTCAATAATCAGAATATTCAAGTTCTCTATATTTTTTTCTAATTTTAATAATCATTAAAACTATCAATCGATTTCTCAGATGATGAAATTTTCTTGTTATGATGATACGGATAATGTTGATCTGTTTTCAAAATCATTGCCAAAATTATTATTATCCAGAAGAGAAAACGGTGAAAGCATATTTTAGAACCTACCGAGAAAAAACTACCTGATTTGGTTACATTTTTTCAAAATTTACCTAAAGGTTCTTTGTTACGACTTGATACATTTGAGCACCAGTATCCAAATTGTTACCAGCAAATCAGCTCTTAAACGAAATTGTACTTAAACAGAATCTATTGTAGCAAAAATAGTTACGTAGTGCATATGAAATGGTTTACCTCTAATGATTCTAACTAGATCATCTGTATCAATACAAAGTGGATCAATATCAAGAAGTTCGTTTGCTACTTTGAATATTCGATCGACAGTCTTTAATAAAATTTACTTGTATTTTCTTTCT